GTTGATGATTTTACAGTACATGATTTTACATTTACCCAGTAATTATAATTCATGAAGTGCCGTTTTACCTTCAATACTGCTGCTTTCAACACAGTAGCTACTTTTAACAAAGTAGCTGCTTTCAACACAGTAGCTGCTTTCTACACAGCAGCTGCTCTCTACACATGTGTGACTGGTCCGCATAAGTACATTATGGTGCCAACCCTGTCACATACACCTGTATCTGTACGGGGTGTATGTGATTTGGTGAGCGAGATGATGTCATCACGCCGGGTACTCGTATGTGGGCGTATCTGCATGTGGGGGGACCCGCCTGTAGACCGATAGAGGAGTGGTGTCTCGGTTCCTAAGACCATCAAAAATATGTGTTTTCCGATGGTCTTAGGCGACCCCTGTGAAAGGGTCGTTCGACCTCCAAAGGGGTTGCGACCCACAGGTTGAGAACCGCTGCTATAAGGGAACTAATCGCTAAACCTATTCAGTTCATATAAAGGTAAAATGGAAACCCATAAAAATATAGAGTATTTCTCATAGGTCCCCTCTAGCCTAGCTAATTAAAAGAATTCTAGTCCTAGGCTGCTAAGTAGCAGAGAATAGGGTTTCTCTACTTAGTGCTTAAAAGGATCTAGATGCTCCTCACACAGGACATCTTATACCTTTTAAAATTTATTCTTGAGGACTCACATGTTCATAACACAGAACTGAAAGACACTTAACTTCTGTGTACTTTATTGTCTCTACCTGTTAAAAAGATAACTATTCCTACCTCTTAACATTGTTTAACTAAATGAGGTAAGGAACAAAAAGGGCTTAGTGCTCAATCATAATTGATGACATTCATTATCACCATTCCCAAAACCACTGTTAGAAAAGATAATAAGTAAGCTACAATAAGGATATTAACAGATTTCTTACGTTTTGGCAAGATGATCAACATGCATATGTTACTCAAAATAGCAACAGTTTTAAAGTGTCAGTAACACTAATGTTACTAATACCCAGTAACTAAATGTTCAAGTTTGGGAAATTTTCAGGAATCCAATAAAAACTTATCCAGTAAGATGTGCTATTAAGATATTATTTGCTACTCCAAAGGCTCAGAAGTACTTACTGTCTTTTAAACACATTTTTTGGCCTTTTATTTCAAAGTAGAGTTAATAGAACTAGCTAAACAAATGAAAATGTTGAGACTATTTACAAGATATTACTATTCTAGCCTAATCCTACTCAGAACATATTGGAAATCTCTAAAATGATGTTATTCAAAGAAAATTAAAAAACAAACAATTGCCTGGCTCGTGTGGCTCAGTGGTTGAGCATCAATCCATAAACCAGGAGGTCATGGTTTGATTCCCAATCAGGGCACATTCCCTGGGCTGTGGGCTCAATCCCCACTAGGGGGCATGTAGGAGACAGCTGATCAATGATTCTCTCTCATCTTTTATATTTCTATCTCTCTCCCTCTCCCTTCCTATGTCTGAAATGAATACTACTAAAAATATATTTTAAAAAAAACCCCACACAAAACAAAAACAACAAAAACCCAAGTAGAAAAATTGTTATGTTTAATTAAATCTGGAAAATTATGAACTAAAAGTAAAAAATTAACAAATATAAGACCAAAAGTAAAGCAAAAATACTAATAAGAATCTTTCATTTAAAAACTCTGTGATCCTTCAAAAACCTTGAAAAAAGCCAAAAATCCCCAAACGGAGAGGTCACTAAATATCCATGAATACTCACCCACTAGATCCAGATGCTTGAATCCACCAAAACAGTCACAAGTTTTTACTGATTACTATAATAGGGCAATGGAGCACAAGTTAACTCCATACTATCCCAAATTAAAGGTTATTATTACTGATAACTCCAGCGACCATTACAAATTACTCAAAGGAAAAGGAGATTGAATAATGAGTTCCAAGGTGAAACTTACTGTGTGCATGTGTGTAAATGTGTACATTTCCTCTAGTTCTCTTAGTGATATAAATCTGATAATATAATTCTTCTTGTAAGTGTAAATATATTGGCAGAATAAAATTTTTAAAACTAATGCTATAAAATTCTTAAAGAAAACATGTAAACTATTTTTCATATTGGTTCAGATAGAAATTTGAGAAAAGAATTTGTTGTTTAAAGACTGCCTATTTCTCAACACAGTATGTCAGTAACACAAGAAAAGATTTTCAGTCCCCTGCACATATGTGTGTGTGTGTGTGTGTGTGTGTGTGTGTATATTTCTTATGTTAGGCCTTTTAATATACTAGTGATTCTTCTAATCAGAAAATTCTCATATTTCAACACATAAAAGACCTCCTAACATTTAAGATTATACAAAAGCCTGCTTTCTTAAAGATGAGAAGTGTTTTCAATATTATTAAAACTTGAAAGTTAACAATTTAACAGAAAATATTTGATATTACCTAATTTCAAACAGGATTAAAAGCAAAACAGGGTCAATATCTAGAAGAAGACAGTAATGTTTTTCTCAATCTCTGGAAGTTGGGGTTAGAATGATCTCCCTCCCATCCTGTATTCCTCTACACCATGACTTACTATGTGGTGAAAATTAAGACACACTACTACTGTAGAAATGGCCAAAAACAAAAAATGGAAGATTCTATATTTCTATATTTTCCCCAGGTAACGAAGATGTAAAAGCTACTTCTACCTGATAATGTGTAGCAAGTAAAGTAACAAATGAAACAAGCCTCATTTGGTTTATATAGTTTAGATAAACAGGAATTAAAAAGAATACTGACATTTTAATGTCAAGTAAGCATACTCAAGCTACCAAAGAAACAGCTGATAAATGCTATAATTTATTCTAAAGATAGTTTTGCAATGTAATATATCTATCACTTATTAAACATGAAAGAACATTTGAAGTCTTGAGAACAGCAACAAAATAAGGAACACCAGAAGCATAAGAAATGTGTACCAACATTACCTTTCTTTCGAAAGAGTGCATTTAGGTAATTTTCTGCTTGGCATTCAATCTTTTCAGTGTTGGACTGGCCCTGAGATGATAGTTCCTCTGTTGGTGTTGACTGTGAAGAATCAAGAGATGGTATACAATCCTAAAATTATATATATATAAAAAAACACCAACATTAAAAAAATCACTTTTTTAACTGTGGGATTCCATTAAAAATGGCAAAAAAAATTAACTCTCTAAATGCTCATTTGTTCTATCTTTTAAATATATCAAATTATATAGAGAATATTAAATTTGAAACAGGAGTCAGGAAAAAAGAAATTTAGCTCTAATAGAGGGCCAACTTAGCCTTATTTTTTAGCAAAACTATAATCAAAAAAGAGGGAAGAGCAGATAAGATATATTGCTGAATAATTTCACTATATAACATGCCAGCAATGAGAATTTTAACAACAAAGCAGTTATGTTTACCTACTAATCTGACCAAAACAGGTACAGGTTCTTGAGTTCTCATTTCCTCTCAGCCCTCTCACAACAGTACGTAAAGAATTAGGATCCAACCATACAAGAAGATGCTGCTTGTCTAGTTTATACCCTGTTTACAGTAGACACTAATATTTAATAATTTACACAGGAGATGATTACGATATCCAAAAGACTTCAAGAGAAAGAAGAAAGTTAAAATGTAGTACCACATTATTCTCCAACTACTGATTCCTGAGAAATCAGCCTGTAGGATGGTCTCAGACCAAACCAGGACTCCAAGATCATCAGCCTTGTCTATGTAAATACAAAACAGATCTGAACTGATTTCATGAGTTAGGGAGCTATGAAAAAGAAATGTGAAATAAGCAAAAAAGATGCGTAGTTTGGGATTTTCACCTACTAGATAAGCTAAATGTTAGATTTCTAACATGAGACTTTAATTTTCTTCTCATTACCAAAATCAAGTATTTATATTCTACTATAAGTCACAAAGTTTCAAAACAAATTAAGTTTAAAAATTGTGTTACAATTGTGCAAATGGTTTAGAAATAATTTCATAGCACTGAAACTTACACTGACTGCTTCTCTTTGTAGGTTACAAAATGAACATTTTTCATCCATAGACCAGTCGGTCAGTTCCTCTGGTTCACAGTCTTTAAAAGAGGGAAAAATATTCATTAAATACACTAACTTTATTAAAACAAATAAAAATACCACTCTCCAGAGCAATGGCTCATGTAAAAAAACTACTAACAGTAAGGGGAAAACACCTAAATTAAACTGGTGACATCTAGAAAGAAATAAACAGAGAAGGCTGTAAGGAGAGTATTTTTGCACTATTAGGGGATAAAGTGGCAAGAACAATGAGCTGGTTATAAATTAATTTTCTAACAATAGGGTTCATATAGCCTCTGCAAGATTCAATTTATCATTGCCTATTAATTTTTTATTTTCACTATGAAATAAATCAGAACAAAGAGATATGGGAGAAAGAATAAATTTTGCATACTATGAAAGACAACATAAAACAGAGAAATGGAATAAAGCACCAAAAAGCCCATAGATTTGAGAACATGGAATGCTGTCCAAGATAAAAGTAGAAATCCAGCCCTGACCAGTTTGGCTCAGTGGATAGAGCGTTGGCCTGCAGACTCAAGGGTCCCAGGTTCGGTTCCGGTCAAGGGCATGTACCTTGGTTGCAGGCACATCCCTGGTGGGGAGTGTGCAGGAGGCAGCTGATCGATGTTTCTCTCCCATCGATGTTTCTATCCCTCTCCCTTCCTCTCTGTAAAAAAATCAATAAAATATATTTTTTAAAAAAGAAGTAGAAATCCACAGCTAAAAAGTCAGACCAGATTTTTATTACATTGTTTAAAGGCTTGTTGAAGGAGTTAGAGCAAAAACCAGGTAAACAAGTTATATTATTCAACACACAACATGACTTTTTTTTTTTTTTTCAGAAGAATGGTCCTTTATAATTCAACTAGAGGCCCGGTACACAAAAATTTATGCACGGGGGGGGGGGGGGGCCCCAGCC